ACTTCTATACAAGCTTTCTAGGGCTGTGCAGTTATTGCAGTGGTTTGTGATCCAGGCAAAGTACCTATCTTAGCAGTTGCCTTAGAAAAATAGGCCAGTAGGTGGCCTCGCTGCTTCATCTAGTTAAGCTCTGTGCCAGATCTCTAAACGAATTCTGAATGGGGAAGATGCTACAACTGAATGGTAGCATTCTCTTTCAGTTGTTGCCTAGCTCTCCACACAGTTGCTGGGATAATGTGAAAGGTTCTAAATATACTCGGAGAACATGTAGAATGAAAAGCAAAAGACTGCTTATTTGCAGTGTTTTAAAGACTGAAATCAAGTATCACTGAAAGAAGAGATTTGTTGTCAGTTTTGAAACAAGTCTGTTTGGTTCATACTGATTCTCCAAGAGTAGTAATTGAGAAGTATGATTCTACAATGGGTTCTGCAGGAAAAACATGAGAGCATGTTGGCTCTCCGTTGTATCTCAGGGAAATGTCTCTTTTGGCAGCTTGGTACAGCGGCAAGTTTTTCCCTTGAGAATTTTTCCTTTTGAAGCCTTTGCTATATGGTGTATTACAACAAAATAAGGTACTCTGTGTACTCAAATGACTGTTATGTAAGTTCAAATGGCTATGCTTTAATGAAGAGAATTGGAAAGCATTCTCATGTAGCATTAGAAATCTGTTGTTTGATTGTGAAACAAGAACAAGAAATTCATGTGATTGAAAACAAATGGCTTGTTTTCTTCAGGCAGAGCAACCTACGAGAATGGAACTGATTCTATTTGTTCCATTTCTCTTCTTCTAGTGTTTAGCACAATGCTGGGTGTTCTAGAGGTGGTTTTTTTTTTCTTTTTTTCCCTAACCCCAGTGTTAACACTTCATAGTAATTAAAGATTGGTTACTAATTTATGAACCTAAGATTGCTGCTTCAAGTCAGAATGGTTTATGAACAGTTTGAAATTCTCTGTACTCCTTACAGATTCATGCGTACTTGAAATCTCCCACATCTATGTGTGGCAGTTGTGTGTGAAAGTTCCTTGCTACTGGAGGTGAAAGCGAAATGCAAACTTGTCCTGATTAACTATCAGAATTAAATCTTTAATGAATGTTCTTGTGACTTGTGAATCAAAACTGCATGGAGGAACAGAAGTTGAAGGTGATGGACTTGTTTTGACTTTTTACTTCTGCAGGACCGTCTGCTTTGGGAGACTAACATGTTCCAAATACCTGATTGGTGCCACTGATCATGGCTTTCTCTGTTGCTGGAATCTGCTCAGTTGTGCATGTAAGATGAGCTTAAACGCATGCTAGAGGGAAAGTAATGACGTTTAACCTTTGAATGTGCTATGATCAAGTAATTCTAGTTTGATTCTAGATTGACCCACTGTAAAATGGCCTGTGGAGTTGTAGTGTTTTTTGTACCTGAGTATAGATAGCACCTCACTCAGTATGCATGTGCTTAGCAAATCCTAGTTTAGGTGATGGATAACCCAATAGCAGCTAGTATTTCCTTTGTTTTTACAAATGGTTGATCATGTTTTCATTAGTCTGAGAATAACTGAAGTTGTATGGCTCTTGCAGAGCTGAAGCCTTGTGGGTCTTTTCCATTTTAAGTTTTATTTGGCAAAGCACCTGAATACAATTCTTTTTCACATCCTGCTACTGCTGTGTTTGCTTTTCAGTGGAATGGAGTGCTCACCTCAACGTTGTAGTTCTGCAACCTGATCCCTTTTGCAGAACATATTGCTGCTTTCTCCTGGCTCTTTAAAGAGTCCAGCTGTGAGTACAAAGGCTTTTTTGACAAGTAGTAGTCAGTGGAACTTAAAACTGGTAAAGTATGATTTATAGAAAAGATTTTCTTAGAATTCAGCTCCATGAAAGCCACTCAACAGACCTGAGTCTGTGTCTGACCCAGGGAAAACTGAGCTATGTTTTGGAGCAGCAATTAAATACAGGTAAATTCCAGTATTTAAACAACACGCTCCCTGTCTTCTCTTTCAATAGTTTATCTCCAGCACAGTGTAAGATGAACTGTCCTCTGGATGAGTGTCTTGTGTGGTCTCAACTCTCACCTTGAAGCTCAAAATCGTGGTTGAATTCTATAGCTTTGTACTAGACTTGTGATGTAAGTGAAGATAAATCTTTCCAGAACTACTGTTCTACAGTAAACGTCATCTGCAAGTATGTTCTTGGGATGGCAATAATGTGAAAAGTACTGTATGGGGACTGCTGAGTTGTGGCCTGAACCTCTGAGTGATGGCCTGAGGTGAGCAGTGAGTCAGCCATGGGAGCACAGGTGGAGGCAATTCAGCTGTGCTGCAGGAGGGGGGTGGAGCCTGGCTGCACCTCTCCTAGACCCATTGAAGAGCTGACTGCCAGTGGGAAGGATCTTTTCTGGAGATCCCTCCTTTTGGAGTTTTCCAGCGAGCCCAGGATAAGGGTAAGCCCTCCATCTATTCTTTTGTGGCGTAATAACTTGCTTAGCCAAACTCTCTTGTCTATATCTTAATTATAACATCTGTATAATCATTGATTATACAAGTACCATAAATTATGTGTTCAGCATATCTGAGCATAATTCCTGTTTAAAGGCAGTCCTGTGCAGAACTTTCTGGCTTTAATGCCTAGTGCTTTGACAACTATCCAGAAGGGGAAGAATGCCACGACTTCAAGCGAAGATGTTCTTGTATTTGCAGTGTTTGTATTTAAGCCAAATGAGCCACGGCCAATCTGTATCCAGAGAAAAATTTCTAAGGAAAGGATCCAGTTTGCTGCCTTTGTTCCAAGAGATGCACCTGAATCAATTGGCTCAGATAAATACCTTTGGCTAAGAAGATCCCATCTAAATTCAGATTCTAGAGAGTTCTATTAGCTCTGCGAGGAATTTATTGGAAAGGATGCCTGGGAGAGAATGGGTACAAAGGGCTGTGTCAAATAGCTCAGCTGAGTTAAACCTGAGCATGAGACTGTCACTTGGGTTGACTCTAAATTCTGCTTGAGTTTTGGTAACAGAAAATGAGGTGGGACTTACATCTGTGTTACTAAGTTCTAGTTAAAACTTTGTCCTTTCTCAATTACAAGATGCGTTTGTTTCTTTTTTTTTTTAATTCAAGCTGGCAGCAGATGAAAGTCTTCCTGTGACCCCATTTAGCTTGCTGTTGGGAAAGCACAGGCATCAACAGTCACAGGGGGGATGTAGACCTTGGAAAAATTGTTCGCCATCACCATGAGCAAGATTCCCCTGCTGTCAAAGAGGTAAGAGTCATTACAGTAAAAATATGAGCAAAATAATGGCAGGCAAAAATGTTCATGAAGCCTCTTTTTTTTTTTTTTTTTTTTTTTCCTTCAGCTCCTGCATACTCCAGCGCATGTTTTGCCATCTGCTTCCTTCCTGTGCCCCATATTTATTAATTCATTGCTTGTCTCCAAAGAGAAGACAAGGTAAGAGAAATTGGAAGGACTCCTCTCTGTTACTTCAGGTGAAATACATCTTTAAATAGAGTGTAAGACTGGTTTTTTAGCATGATTCATTATTCTGTTCATACAGGCGAGTAGAACGTGTCATAGAGGCAACATAAAGCACACAAAAAAGTTCAGATACGCAAGATCAGCTACTTACCATATGGGCCTTTACATTGCTGTTGTTAGTTATCCTGTCATTTGGCATAATGTACTTCTAAGCAAAACGTGTACATAGATACTCCAAAGTTGTTTGTCAATTGAACTTTATTTCCAGGTAAGGATTGTAGAAGGCTAGAATGGCTTGAGTTGAAAGGGACCTTAAAATAAGTTCCAACCCTGCTGCCGTGGGCAGGGCTGCTGCTCAGACGTGACGTAACGTGACGTGTTTTACCTACCGTTGTTTATACTTACAGCTTTCCTCAATGGTGTCACAAGCTGTTGCCATACTGCAAAGTTTAAAATCAATTATACTGTTTTTACTTTATTTCTTACACAAAAAAAAATACATTGGCCTTTTCTTAGCATCTTGTTATTTTTAACAA